GATCTTTCTTATTTACCCACTGCTAATCAGCTTGCAGATGTGCTTACCAAGATCCTTCCTGCCGAGCAATTCCAGAAACTTTTATCCAAGCTGGGTATGGTTACTTCCCCACCCAGCTTGCGGGGGGGTGTGAAGATACATCAGTGATATGCCACCTGTCCATGCCAGCTGTCCAATTCTCCTAACTAATTGTCCCTACTTTCTAGCTTAGATATTTTTGGTTTGTTAGGCTAGATATTTTTGGTTAGTTAGGCAGCTCAGTATGGTGTGTATATATATACTTTGTTTCCTTTTCTCTGGGACGACGGATCAGAATATGAAGCTTGAATAACATTTCCATTTTCTTCTTCCCTGAGTTCTTCTCTGTTCTCTTTCTGTTCACAACTTTAACAACTTTGAGATATTTTCCTATAATTATCGGGATTTACTCACTGCACAATATAAAAATTAGTAGCTTTAGAATATCAGTGAGATGAAATGGAGATGATGTGCAACATCTGTCATATTGGAGCATTAATAGCTGCCACTATTAGAAACCAATCAAAGGGAAACATAAAACTTATCTCTTTAAATATCTTTCACTCAAAATTTGATATTTAGATTTATCCTTTAAAAACAGATATTTAGATTTAAATTAATTCTTATTATGCTTACATGGCAGAAGACAGAACAAGGGACGAGAAAGACTATCTTCACTTCAAGTTTTTATGTTTTAGAATCTCAAATAGACTTTAAAAAATGTCATGATCTGTTGGATTTTCCAGGGGCCAGGGAAAACTAATCATGATCATCATAGGGTATGCACACATATTCCTAGAAACTAGATTAATAACTGAGCCCTAATCCCTTGTAAACAAGGTTAGCACTAATAGAAATTCATTTGAGGTTGTCCTCCATTGCCCCTGCAATATTCTCAATTTTGTTCGTGATCTGATTTTTACGTTAGCCATCTACCACAATCTAGATTGGCTATGAAAGACATAAAGTCACTCACAGGTGGAGCTTCCTAGAAACTAGACAATTGACATAAAAGTAGAGTTGCCTAGAGGTTCTTTCACTACATAGGACTATATGAAGATTAGGAGCAAACAATTTCCCATGAAATTTTAAGCTTAATGCGCACTTCTTTTGTTCTTCCATAATGTGTGGTCCAATTCATTGTTCAAAATTCTCTCTTTTCCAGCAACTAGAGAGGCTATCCTTTAGGGGCAGTCGAATCAGAGATACCGTAATGGCTCAAGGTAGAATCCTTCTATTCTGGTACTACACCACCTACCTGCTCCTGGCAAAAAACAAGCCGAAATACCAGCGGCTTGAGCCACCACCCTCAGATCAAAGCCAATCCCAGCCTAAAATTCTGCTTCTCAAGAGTGGTCCAGTGGAACAAAAACAACTCGAAGCTCCTTCCCTAGACAAAGGTAAAACCCGGCCAGCTGTGGGAATCTTCTCCTGCTGGGACCCACTCATTTGTTTAACCCAGAATGTTTGCCAGTGCTTGATGTCTATGTTCTCTTACTCTGTGTTATTATGCTTACTTTTTTCGGTTCATTTATTTTGTGTGTGCTTGAGCCGGGAGTCTCTTGGAAACAACCTCTCTACTTCCGAGTAGGGGTAAGGTCTGTGTACCCACCCCCCCTCCCTACAGCCTACTTTCTATAAGATTTTACTGGGTTTTTGTTGATTATTGCTATTTCTAAAGTTGGTTTTCCATAATCTGCTTCCTCTGCTTATCAGAATTTGGCAAAAGACTAAATTCTATAAATGGTCCCTAACTACTACTAGTTTTCCATATTTGATTTTCAATTCTAAGATATTACATAAATGGTCTTCAATTTTTGAAAACTATTCCATAATCGGTCCGGGACTATGTGGAAAAAATATTTTGTCATAGTTGGTCTAAAGAACTACAAGTATTTATGGAAAAGTTTTCAACAATTGAGGACCATTTATGCAATATCTTATAATTGAGGACTAAACATAGAAAATCACTTGTAATTAAGGACCATTTATGAAATTTAGTCTTGGCAGAAATAGGTGTTACCAAAGAACACAGATTCATGTGTTCCCGCCAAATAATGTTACCAAAACTACCCCTGAATTTCTTCTGATTTGTCTATGCAGGTGATAATCAGGATGGAAATGTGGAGTAAAAACATGTCTCATTGTGAGGTAATGAGCTCTATATCCTAATATAACAGGGCAAAAAAAAAAAAAATTCCCAATCAGAGCTAGGAACCTCATGCAGATTTGAGACATGAGTTGAAGATGTGTTCTTTTCTTCATTAGATGTTCTTGATGTTAGGCCATATAATTTACTAGTTAGCTACTGTGAACAAGATGACCACCACTTTGTAACAAGTATGAATGCTTTTTAGGCTGTTGTCTAAACCCGTTTTTCGTTTCGTTGTTTTTCCCAGAGGTGAGCAACGGTCGGTTTTAAACCGAAAAACCCCATTTTTTTTAAAGATTGATGAAGACTGAACCGAACCGATCATAAACTAAAACCGACCAAACCAAATCCGAAAATGGCCCGTATGGCCAAGAAACGGACCGAAAATTGAATTTTAATTACCTTTATTTTAACTTCTTAATATAAACTCAACAAATTAATTCAGGAAGGAAGATTGATATTTATTAAATTAATTTAGATCAACACTTTTCTATTGTCATGACTCATGTTTAGTAAGGTAGATTGATATTTATTTGAATATCCATTCTCCATTTCATACAACAAATGCACTTTTCTTATTGATAGGTTCAAAACATTAACAAATAAATTTTTGAATAGTGAAACAGTGAAGTTTTTTTTTGTGGAAAGTAAGAGAGCGTGTGCTAAACAAATATTTTTTTTTATTCCAAAAAAAATAGAAAAAATTATTCAGAATAATATTAATTTTACCCGATTTTTCAAAAATAATTTTACGTTTCTATTTACGAGGTTTGACTAATTTTATTTTTAATTTATTTGATTTTAGGTTTAAAATTAAAAAATAAAATTTATATATTTAAAAATTATATCAAAAGTTTGCAAAATAAGATGTGACAAGACTATATTATTTTATCAAATGACTAACAAAAATAAGTGAAAAAAGTAATTAAAATTTGATCATGTAAATAATAACTGAAAAGAATATTTTAGTACGGAAGAAGTATTTTGAATGGCAAGGTTCCCATGATATTGGAAACTAATGTCATAGGATGACCCGGGGGCGCTCCGGTGCCTCGTTCATAAAATTGATGGTTCCTAGCCCCCCTAACCCTTCGGTAAACCCCCCACCCCCTTCAATTGCACCCCACAAGTTGATTTTGACTTTGGAGTCAAAATTTGACTCCAAAGTCAAAATCAACTTGTGGGGTGCAATTGAAGGGGTGTGGGGAGGAGTGTTCGGGTCGGGGCAGGGTGGGGGGTTACCGGGGAGGTTAGGGGGTAGGAACCGTCAATTTTACGGATAGGGAACCGGAGCGCCCCAGGGTCATCCCATGACATTGGTTTCCAATGTCATGGGAACCTTGGTGATTTTGAAGTAGTTCAAATTTCTTTGCTTAAACATATGAAATACAACTTGTGGGGTTCACAAAATTACAACAAATGTAACATATGGAAATAGCTTCTTTGTCTTTTAAGACTCGGGTATCGTTTGAAGACATGAAATGTGACATGAATGATTGTTCCTTCAAAATATTTCTTTTGATTTAAAAAAAATAAATATCACTCGCTCTCAAAAAAATATTGTTCACAATCTCGGTTCACGAGACATTGACGTCAAATATCATAGCATGATCCACAATGCTCTACTCCTCGAAGTTGATAGTTCTTACTTCTCGATTCTCTGCTCCACTGTTCCCACTTTTCTTCTCCATTTAGAGTCAAGGGTAGAAAACATTAATTATACGAACAGAACATCACCAATTCAGGTTATGCTATATCATTGAATTTAATCTGAATAATTTTTTGTCGCTTTTTTTCCTAAGCTTCAATAATTTGCTTAAACTTCAAAAAATTAAAGACTAACTTTGGTTAATGGACAAAGGAGTACTTATTTAGAAAAACTTTTAATGGTCCATTTTTTTTCCTTTAAAGAATTGGCACCTTTTTTGTGTGCGTTACCTAATTTATTTGACTTGTAACGTTAAAATTCTTGAATCGTTACAGAAGAGAACAGTGTCGTCTCCATCAAATCTCTGATTCTTCGACTTCCATCTCCACCAAAGAACAGATCGGAATCGAATCGGAACCACCAATCACCGCCGCGTCTCGATATGCGTGAGAACATGACTCCGGTTCCGATTCGGCTTGCGTTGCTGTTTCTTTGGAGCTTCGGAGCCACTGTATTCGCTTCCGCCGGTTCGCATCGCGCCATTCTTCGGGCGATCAGCGATGGCGCCGGCGGAGGGAAGCGAGACTACGCCGTGGATTTGAACGCCACTAACTTCGATTCAGTCCTCGGAGAGACTCCGGCCACCTACGCGATTGTTGAGTTCTTTGCTCACTGGTCAGTTCCCTTTTCCTGCGTATTTAGTTTAATTTTCTCGCGTTTTAGGAAATGTGTGATTCATGAGGCTGGATGTAGTTGTATAATCTGAGTAACGTGTACTGCATAATTATGCATCTGAAAGTTTTTGGATTTTATCTGTGCCGAGTGTTGTGGAAATGAAGTTTTGAAACTTGAAAGTGTTGTTTGAGAATAATAGCCAGAAAGAAATATAGGATGTTGATAAATTGATACACATTTCATGCCAAAAAGTTAGAATCAAATATTATTATGGATTATTGGCTGTCCCCCTTTGACAATTGATGATGATCCTTGTTTTTTGCAAAGCGTCTGCCCATTTTCTACAACGGTAGTAATAGTGCAGTACTGGTTATGTCCATTGCCAATGGAGCTAAATATGGATCCATGGATCAAATCAAAATGATACGTTAAACTTCCCTTTCATCTTACTTTTGATGAAGTTTGAAAATGCATCAGCTTGAACTCTCTTCTTGATCTCATTTTTTTTGAATGTTGTCATTCTTTTCTGTTATCTTTAATTTACACCATCGATACTCAATACCAAGTAAGTCATTTCCTTTTCCTCCCCCGCCCCAAAATAAACTTCCCGTTTTGGTTTACGATATTTGATAGAAGTTGTTTTCAATTTAATTTATTTGAAAATTGGTATAGAATCTAAAAAATACAATTTATATGTTTAAAACTACATCAAAAGTTATACTACAAAACAAGAAATTATTTGACTATTTAACTATATAAATGATCAATAAGAATATGTAAGGAATTGTGATAAAGTTTGACATGTGGATAGAGAATGAGAACTTTATTTTAGGATGGAGGGAGTATAACTGTATTACATCTCAACCTTTCTTAGAATATTAATATATTTCTTGCAGGTGCCCTGCTTGCAGAAATTATAAGGTATCTTGCATCTTTCTTTTTAATTGATTTTTATCATTACAACAGTTTTCAATTCTCATCTCTGAATCAACAATTTTGCAGCCGCATTATGAGAAGGTTGCACGACTTTTTAATGGAGCAGATGCTATTCATCCAGGAATCATATTGATGACAAGGGTAGACTGTGCACTGGGGGTACTACTATTTACTACGGAGTACTACTTTAGTTTGTTTTCTTATTTTTTTTCTGGACACTACAACAATAAAACAAGATTCAGGGGGAGAAATAGATACCAGAGGGGGGGGGGTGGTGGTGGTAAGATGAGACTAAAAAATATATTTAATGAACTGACTAGTTGTTTGCCCAATGTGAATTTTCTTCTGTTATCTTTTTGCTGATTGTAGACATAGTATTGGGGCCAATGATACAATCTAGTCATGAAAACTTTTTTTAAGGGGGGGGGGGTTCTTTTTTATGTTCTCAAGGAATAAAAAGTGCATTTGTACTGTATATTTATTAGCTTTTCTAACATATAGCATGCCATCATCATAGTTAATTGCTTAGTGTAGTAGAAAATTAAGTAAAGGTTACTCTTCTTCACGCTCTAGACTTTAGTGCATGTTTGTGATATGTTGGTTGCTGAGATTATTATATGGTGCACAGGAACAGAAAGCAACAAAGTGGTATTTTTAAAAAATCTAGGAAACGGAAACCTGGACGAAACTTTTAACTATATAAAAAAGAATGAGGCTCACGTTAAAATTTAAATTTAGGGTCTTTTGGGGCTGGAAATGTGTCTCTAGGAAACTTGTTTCCTAACTTTAGGAAATTGCATGGCTTAACATGTTTGGGGGACAGTTTTGTTTTGAAAACCTTAATAGGGAAAACAGTGCTACTAGACTTTTATGTGCATTGCAGTTTTGCTTGATATGTTATTGACCATGTAAAAATGAAACATTGGCTTGTTCTTTTCCTTTATTGGTGGGTGGGGTGATGGTGGCCTATTTCTAGTAGCAGCGGGATATGATTATTAAACTTTTTTCTGCTCAATCATGTTACATGGGGATATTACTTTTGTCATGCTTCCTTATGTGTGTTCTTTTGAATTTCTTGGCAGCACAGATAAATTCTAATCTTTGTGACAATTTCTCTGTGGGGCATTACCCTATGCTTTTATGGGGGCCTCCAGCAAAGTTTGTTGGTGGTAGTTGGAAGCCAAATCAGGAAAAAAGTGACATCATTTGTATTGACGATGGACGAACATCAAATCTCTTGTTAGAATGGATCAATAAGAAACTGGGAAGGTAATAAAGAAGTCTTGGCCTTTCCTATCACATTTACTTTTTGAAGTCAAAACTGTGTTCCGTACTTTTTATTGAACACTTGAGTGGAAATTATGATGAGGCTTGCCACAACTCACATTTTGTAACTGATTTATCTTAATGGCATGCTGTATTGATTTTTGCTGTTGCAACTTTTAGCCATTTAGGAACCTCTCTCTCTCTCTGGTGTGTGTGTTTTTGCTAATTGATTGATTAGTTAAAGGAAATTTCAACTTCTTATATTTCTGACTCATGTGTTTGGTTAGTTTGATTGCTTTTATTTGAATCTTGAACTCTTGATATAGAATAAAATTATCATCCATGTTGAAAAACACAGAAGTTGTGTATGCCTTAATTCTTGTGTTAGGAGGAGTAGCCTGGTTTAGCCGCTTTAGAGTTTAGATTGCATAAACAACAGGGAGATATATGTCACCTATATATTGATTAAAATATCAGTATGACCAATCTAATACGACGGCTTTGTACTGTGTATAAACACGAGCAATATAGTAGTAGCTGAAAAGTGTAAATAATATAACATTGCCAGTCTTTCCTTTCGTATTTTGGTTTGTTTGTATTTTTATGATAAAAAATGTTCTTTGAGTTTATGTTATCAAACCCGCCCCCCCACCCACCCTCCCCCCACACACACACACAGCTCCACTACCATCTCCATTTGGCTGACATTTTA